AACCATTACACATTAAACGTTCCTTTTTTTCACCAATCCGTGTTTGCTACCTTTCTCGGAGTCGCAAGTGTAGGCTGGAATGCTGGGCGTCTAGTGGGTAGTGGGTAACTTAGTTTTAGTTTTAGTTTTGGTTTTGCGGCGCGCGTGTTGTGTTGCTCGCCCGTGTCTCATGTGTTTTGTGCCGTCCCCTTATCCTTGTGTACTGGCCTCCTGCAGGGAGTCTGGGTTCTTCTCCCCTCGGGGAGCTAGCGTAATGTGGTTGTCTGGTGGCCACATCTGGTCAGGGCGTACCTGAACTGTTAGCGGGTTGCTCGTTAAAGCGGCTGCCTAGTTACATAACAAGTAGTAACACTATAGTTGTGGGGGTGGGGGGGGGGGGTGTGCAGAGAAGGGATGGGAAAGAATTAAGGGAAGAAAGGGGAAAAAAAGAGTTAGTTTGTAGACCTCTTGAAAGTGGTGCACCTCTTTGCCCTCCCATGGGGCCCATGCCTCTTAGTTGTCTATTCTACCTGACTACCTCCAATGCATCATTGGTGCTACGTGTCAGGACCTCCTCCCAGATTAAATCTCAGACGTTCCTCGTCTCTCTGGCTTTTGTGCTCTACTCCAACACTCTTGTCTTGGCATACCTATGCGTCCTGAGTTCTGGAGTGGTGCGAACTTCTCTGAACGTATCTTTCCCATTTGTTTTTGGTGTCTATGATCATGTGGTTATTTGTAATGTATTTATTTGCCATAGCCTAGTATTCCCAGTTTGTGGATGTTTGTGTTAGGAGATCGTGTTTGCTGGGTGCTTGTGGTTGTTTCCACTGTCTGGCTATCAGGGTTACTGCCGCTATGAGCACCTGGAATATCAGTTGTCTTTCCTGCTTGTGCCATTGGGCAAGATGCATGAATAGTATGCCCTGTTCCGGCCCCAGGCTGTATGGGCGGCCACATCAGTGATTACCCCTTCCACCATCGCCCAGTAGGGAGTGATTATCGGGCAAGTCCACCATATGTGGTACATTGTCCCCCTTTCTCCGCACCTCCTCCAGCATTCCCCTGAGCTTCCAGGGTATAGTTTCGCTAGTTTGTCCGGGACCATATACCATCTATACATAATTTTCCTCATTGTTTCTAGATGAGTCGCGCAAGATGTGTGCCCTTTGTGCGTTTGGAATGCCTGTTTCCAGTCTAGGTCTGCTATTGGGTGTCCTATGTCTTCCTGCCAGGCTTCTCTAAAGTCTCTGTGTCTGTTCGTATCTGCTGTATTCAGTAGTGCATATAATTTCGACAGGATTTTTTTGGGTATACTGCCCTGTAGGCATATCTGTTCTAAGGCACCAATGTTTGGTGGTACGGCACATGATCCCTTGCAGTGTGTGGCCACAAATGATTTCAGTTGGAGATAAGGGAATATGTGTCTGGATTGCAGGGAGAATTTGGTTTGCAGTTCTGGGAACGGCAGTAACTCGTTGTTCCCGCATAACTGGCTAAGTTGGGTACATCCCCCTCTCACCCAGGGGGTGTGGTCAAACGTCGGTATGCCCACTGAGATGCTCATGAGTGGGATATTCCCTATGGTTGGTCCGACCATGCCCAGTGTTGCCCTCACAGAGTCCCATGTTTTAATCATTGCTGCCGTGGTTGGTAGCATGGTTGTGTATGTCGGTCGTAGTTTATGTGGCAGCTGGTATAGTTGTCGCAGCCCCTGTTTGCATGCCCAATGTGCTTCTATGTGGACCCATTGGGGGGGGTCTTCTACTGCGTTCGTCGCTGCTATGGCAGTCAGCAATGTGGCTCTATGATAAGAACGGATGTTGGGCATGCCCAGTCCCCCTTCCTTGATCGGTTTTTGTAAGAGCTTGCTAGCCACCCTCACTTTGCGGTTGGCCCATACAAACCGCACGATCAGCTTTTGGATTGTACTCATGTATGGGCCCGGCAGACTTATCGGGACCGTGCGCAGCAGGTACTGGAGTTTGGGAAGTATAGACATCTTAATCGCCGCCAGTCTGCCCAGCCACGAGAGATATTTACCCTCCCATGTGTGTAGCGTGTCTGTAAATGATTTGATCAGTTTAGTGAAGTTTAGCTTAAACAAATGGGGTAGGTGGGGGGGTATATGGACGCCCAAGAAGGTAATATAATCCTTCCTCCAGTCGAATGAGAAAAGCTCACTCAAGTGTTTCAGCCGGTGAGACTGGACTCCCACACCCATAGCCTGTGATTTAGCGACATTTAATTTGTAGTAGGAGTTAAGGCCGTATTCTTTAATGACTTCCATGAGGTTTGGTAGTGAAATTTGGGGTTGCGTTAGTGTCAGCATGACATCGTCCGCAAACAAGTTAATTTTGTATTCCCTGTCGCCCACCGTTACTCCGTGTATGGAGCTGTTGGCCCGTATTGTCTCCGCTAGCGGCTCTAAAGCCAACACATATAGTAAGGGGGAGAGTGGGCATCCCTGCCTCGTACCGTTAGTAATGCTAAATGGTTCTGAAGTGAAGCCCGCCGTGATCACCTGTGCCGATGGTTTGCTGTATAAGGCCTCCACCGCCGAGCAGAATGCCCCCGGCATCCCAAACTTATCCAGGACCGCTGTCAGGAACCTCCAGCTCAGGCGGTCAAAGGCCTTCTCCGCGTCTAGTGAGAGCGTTACACATTCTGTATGTTGCCTTTGAACGCTATGTATAATGTCGATGACCTTTCTCGTGTTGTCCCCCCCTTGTCTCCCTTTAACGAATCCTACTTGATCGTTCCTTATTAGGTGTGGGAGGATCGTGCCCAGTCTGATGGCGTATATTTTCGCGAAAAGTTTTGTGTCTGTGTTCAGTAGTGATATCGGTCGAAAATTTTGTGGGTGGATTGGTGGCTTGCCCGGTTTAGGCAGTGTAATGATGTGAGCTTTGAGGGCTTCTGGCGGGAGTGCGTGTTTCGTGGCTGCTTCATTAAAAGCATTAGTAATGTGAGGGGCTAGGGTTCTTTGGAAGTACTTGTAGTAACAGTTGGCGAACCAGTCCGGACCTGGGGCTTTATCAGAAGGTAGAGAGTCAATCGCCCTCAACACCTCCGTTTCTGTTATCAATGCGGACAAACTATCCTGCTGAGCGGGTGTAAGTTTGGGCAGGGCGATCTTGTCTAAGTAGGAGGCTATTTTGGCCCCTTGTGGTTGGGGTGTATTTGGGTCGTCCCTGAGATTGTACAGTGCTTCGTAGTATTTGGCGAATGCATTGCTAGTGTCTTTGGGTGCCACTATTTTCTGTCCGCTTGGAGACAGCAAGTACGCTATTTTTTGGGCTGCTTGTTGTGTCTTTAATCTTTGTGCTAACAGTTTACCTGCCTTGTTTCCCTGTGTGTAGTTTTGTGCTTTTAGCCTTTTCAGGTGGTATCCCACTTGTTCCAAGGACATTTGGTGCATCTGTCTTGTGAGTTTCATGATTTGTTCCCGCAGTTCATGTGAGGGAGTTATTTGGTTTTGTGTCGTGACACGCTGGAGGTCTGTTTGGCATGTGTGGAGTTGGAGGCGGGATTTCCGTTTTAAGTATGCTGCCCGCTGTATCAGTTGTCCCCGTATCACCGATTTGTGGGCCTGCCACAGGGTACCCCGGCTCGTTTCAGGCCTATCATTGTCTTGGAAATATTGGGCTAAGTTTTGGTTCAGCTCCGTGCAGAAGGCACTATCCTTCAGTAATGTTGTGTTTATGCGCCACGGGCTTCTATGGGTCGGGTCATAGAGGTTTTTCAACGTTAGCTCTACCGGGGCATGGTCGGACCATGTAATCTGTCCTATCTCGCACTGGGCCGTTTGGTCTATCCCTGTCCCTGAGATAAGGAAGCCATCAATGCGGGAGTAGGTGTTGTGCACTGTCGAAAAGAATGTGTACCCCCTTTCCCCTACGTGAGTGGCTCTCCATACATCATACAGATGGTTATTGTGTATAAGCTTGCAGAGTGCTTTACTTTGTTTGCGGAGGGGTGTACTGCGCTTTCTAGCTGGAGCTAGCGTCGTATCTATGGAGGGGTCAAATACATGATTGAAGTCGTCACAGATGACTGTCGTCCCTAGCTGTACTGACTGTAGTTTCTGTATAATTTTATGTAAAAAATTGCGTTGGTTTGTGTTGGGGGCGTATATGTTCGCTATGGTGTAAGGCATGTCGTTAATCGTGCCTACTATAATGACGTATCTTCCGTCCGGGTCAATGTGTTGGGAATGCGGGGCATAAGCTGCATTTTTGCTAATTAGTATGGAAGTGCCTTTGGTTTTGCTAACCGATGTGGCGTGGATTTGTATAGGATAATCTTTCTGTAGGACGGTGGGGTGTGCGTTGGTCATGAAATGTGTCTCTTGAAGGCATAGAACGTCTACTGCTTTGTGTTTGATCTCTCGGTATAGGAGGTGTCTCTTAACCGGGATGTTCAGTCCCCTAACGTTGTGTGAGTAGATTTTCAGGGTGGGAGGTGGTCATAGGATGGTATTTGTGCTTGTGTTCGACATTTATAATTCGGGGAGTCCCTGTGTCCCAGTTCCTCCGAACTTCAGGGCTGTCCCCGGGTAGCAGGAGGGCTATTTCGCATGTCTCTAGGTGCAGAGGGAGAGAGCGGCATGGTCTCCGCTCTATCTGATCTTGGTCGGTAACTAACAGAATGTATGGCAAGTGGGAGGGGTGCATGAGGCGCACACATGAGTACAAACTTAAAAACATAATAGGTAACAGAAATAAGCAAACTATAACAAATCAACTTTTTTGCCGAGATATCGGCTATGCACCAGGCGGTGGTGCAGTGGGGGTAGGAACTAATGGTTCCTGTCCTGGCTGCGGTTCGACGGCCGCGGCCTTTGCTCTCATGTTTCGCTTTTGTCTGGGTGACCCTTTTTTTTTTGAAAAGGTTGCGTGGATGGGCTGTCGCTGTCTGCGTCCTGAGAATGCATGTTGATATAGTGTAATAAAAATGAATATATAATGCATTTTTTTTTTTTTTTTTTTTTAAATAGTAGTCTGGCGGAGCTTTCTGGGGGGGTCTGTGGGGGGGGGGGTGCGAACACGAGCTCCACTGCCTGAGCCTTTCTCGATGTTGGTCTCCATGCCACTGTATCTATGACCCAGGCCCCTATCTAGCCTTGTTCCCAGATTACGTCTGTCCCTGTACACCCTCCGCCCCCCCCTCAGTCACCTTGCCCCGCGTCTTTGCATGCATATCTATAGTGTAGCTCCCATTTACGTTACCATTAAACATAGAAAAGTTCACAAAGCAAATGTTATACAAGCCTGGATTCACATGGCTGGATGGACAGTTCTCAGGCTCAGCGACACAGCATCCTCTCAGCAAGGCGAGTTAGCGTTTGGCTTTCCTCCATGATGGAGGGAGTCTTTGGGTCTCTTTCGTTGCGGGCGGAATTTCTATGCCCCAGGTTCTAAGGATTTTCATTCCTTCGTCTGGGCTTTGTATTGTAGTTGGTCTTCCGTTTCTCTGTACGATCAGCTTCACCGGGTATCCCCATCTGTATGGTATTTGTTGTTGGCGGAGTTGCGTCGTGATTCCTGCAAAATCCTTTCTGCGTTTAAGCGTGTATGCTGAGATGTCGGCGTAGATTGCTATTGCCTGGTATTCCGCCGGCATGTCCGTTTTTTTTCTGGTTCTGTTTGCTCTCATTACCTCTTCCTTTATGTGAAAATAATGCATTCTCAGCAGTACGTCTCTAGGGGTTTCAGGTGGTAAGAAGGTGGTTTTGGCACTCTGTGAGCCCGGTCCATCAGGAACATGTCTGGGGGCACGTCAGGGGCGAGCGCTTTAAATAGTCCCACCAGGTAGGCCGTGAGTTCTGTCGGGCCTATATTTTCCGCTATACCTCTAATACGGAGGTTGTTTCTCCAACCTCTGTCTTCAAGGTCCGCGGTTTTCCCCTCCTGTGCTTCTATTCTTTCTGTGAGGCTGTCTAGTTTTGCTGCCATGGAATTATGGGCCTCCCCATATGCCACCAGCCTGTCCTCCAGCCCGGCCGTCCTGTCCCCCAGCTCTTTTACATCTGCATTTATGGAGTGGATTGCATTTTGTAATGTGAGCTGTAACTTGCCTGCCATAGTGTCCAGCATCGCCTGCAGGATCCCCTGTGTGACCGGTAAGTCGGCAGCCGCCTGGTCTGGGGAGGGAATGGGCTCTTCCTCGCCGCCATCTTGATTTTCGCCATGTGGGCCGGATCCTCTTGTCTGGCTCGCTTTAATGCCAAAGAAGTTGGATTTTTCGCCCCGTTCGGTTTGCCGGCGGTGTTTGGGTTGGGACATCTTACTGCCACTAGCCTTGCAATGTCGGGTCACCCGCTCTGCAGCTTGTGTAGGCCTGTGCCGCACGGAGCTCCGGCTACATGCGACCGCTCGCTCCGGAGTCCAGGACACGCCCCCCCGTATCTTTTATATTTAATGATTTTTTTAGGACTAAGGTTAGGGTTCCGTTTGTTTATGGCAGCACTAGGATATACATGATCTCCCCAAGTTTAGTCGGTAATGGGCAGTAAAATTTGGGGCAGTAGCTACTGTTTGCCGCAGCCACCATTAATTCAGACCTCTCCTCCCAATAGTGAAATGATTGTAGGGAAGCTGGGGAGACAGAATTGAGCTATATATAGCCAGTTTCGATTAAAATAAACATATATATACTGATCAGCCACAACAACCGCTGACAGGTGAAGTGAATAACATTGGTTATATCATTACAATGGCCAGGAGCGTGTGTCATTTATCTGGGGAAGAGATGGCAGGAGGGTGCACTATGGGTAAAAGGCAGGTCAGTAGAGGCAGTGTTATGCTCTGGGAAATGTTCTGCTGGGAAACCGTAGGTCCTGGCGTTCATCTGGATACTTTGACACATACCACCTACCATGAGATTGTTGTAGACCACGCTCGCTGACTTAACACACACACTCACAGACACACATCCTTGCTGATTTGATGCACTCTGAAAGACACACACCTTCACTCACAGACACATATACACTAACAGACACACACTGACAGACACACACATATATTCACTTACATACACACACACATTCACTGACAGACACACACTCTTACTAACAGACACACATTCCATATGTATAAAAAAAAAAAAGAAAGAAATACCGCACTCTTTCAGTGATCCCGGTGTTACCAGACCTGGTGCTGGCTACCTCTGCTGTGACAGTTGAACAAAATTGTGGTCCAGGCACTCAAGGGACATTAAAATAGTGAGTATATAGAGGTTAAAATACAATATAAAAGAGGGTGCTACTATCACCTATGTGGGTCACTCCAACACACAAAAATAAGTGCAAATGTAGTAATAATATAAATGGTGAGAGCACACACAGAAACACTTTTTAGGTATGTTACCCTTTGTCAAATAAATTCCTGTAAAGACAAAACAGGAAAAACAATCATAAGGTAAAAACGTATAAAAAGTTTTAAAATAGTAGCTCAGGAATATGTGAGTTTATCCATTTATTTACTACTATAATACTTTTTATAAGTTTTTACCCTATGATCGTTTTGATCTAGCAGGCTATTAACATAGCAGGGGATAAAAAAAATCTAAATTAAAAGGAAGGATAAACTTTAGATGACTCTTTGCAGGAAGTGTTTAGGAAGGATGTGCAAGTCACATGCAGGGAGGTGTGACTATGGTTCATAAACAAAGTGATTTAACTCCTAAATGGCAGATAATTGAGCATTCAGATTGCAGGGGCATGATCTATACACCAAAACTGCTTCATTAAGCTAAAGTTGTTTTGGTGACTATATTGTTTTGGGAGAGCTAGAGTGGATTCTTACTCTGGGGTCCAGCCAGCTGGGTGTGAGCGCAATGGAGGTGGCAAGGGAGCTGTAATCTTCTTGCTTTTCTCCCTTGCATGCCGTTTAGTGATGCCAAGTCCTGAGTGTTGTCATATTCCGGCTCCCGGCATCACAACAAGGCATGAGAGGGAGCAGAGCAGGAAGAGCTCAGAGGACAGTGCTCCCTTGCCAAAATGCATGGCTGCCTGCTTTGGGGGCCCTAAGGTGGCCAGCTAGCCAGGTGCCCACAGAACACTAGGCTAACAAGGCATCTGCCGGGGTGTTTGGAGCGGCGTTCTTTGCCGCCCCCTGAAAAGTGCCGCCCAAGGCAACTGCCTTGTTAGCTTTGGGGTAAATACAGCACTTATTGTTTTATTATTTTTTTTCTATTTCGCTGGACCAGTGCCACACTGAAAAAAATTGTTTAGGAATAGTTTGGGGAACATGACAAAGAGTTCAAGATGTTACATTGGCCCCCAAATTCCTCACATCTAAATCCGATTGAGCATCTGTAAGATGTGCTGGAATAAAAAATCTGATTAATGGAGGCTCCAGCTCACAACTTGCAGGACTTAAAGGATCTGCTGCTAATGTCTTGGCGCCAGATACCACAGGTCTTGTTGAGTCCACGCCTTGATGCAAAGTTTTGGCAGCTCAAGCGGGACCTACATGCACTGGCATACATACCACGGTCGCAGGGGTTGCAGCTGCGACCGGGCCCAGCCCATCGGGGGGCGTGGCCGCCCTGCCACCCGGTATGTACGCCAGTTTGCAGCCTCTTCTCCTGGGGGGCTCGAGGCTGGCAGTGGTGTCACCAGGAGGGCGCGCGAGGGAGCTGGGCAGAGAGCGCTCAGGAGAGAATGCCGGAGCCGGAATCACTAAACGGCGCGCAAGGGAGCTGAACAGGAGGATCAGTGCTCCCTCGACACCTGCAGGACCGACCGACCAGCAGCCCCACTGGATCCAAGGGAAATCTGGAATCCCCTCAGCACTCCCAAAGGTAGGGAGGCTGGGGGATTAAATAAAATTAAAAAATATGCGTGTGTATGTGTGTTAGTGTTAGTGTGTGTGTGTTAGTTTTTGTGTGTCAGTGTGTGTGTGTGTGTCTGTTACTGAGTTTGTTAGTTGTGTCTGACTGTTATTGAGTGTGTCTGCTAGTGAGTGTCAGTGAGTGTGTTAGTTTTTGTGTGTGTGTGTGTGTTGTGTGTTAGTTTGTGTGTGCTAGTGAGTATAAGTGTGTGTGTTAGTTTGTGTGTCAGTGAGTGTGTGTGTGTGTGTGTCAATGAGTGTGTTACTGTGTGTGTCTGTTAGTGAGTCTGTTTGGTATCTGTTAGTGAGTGTGTGTTTGTCAGTGAGAGTGTATGTTTTGTGAGTGTGTATGTGTGTCTGTCTGTCAGTGAGTGTGTATGTATGTCTGTCAGTAAATGTGTGTGTCTGTTAGCTAGTGTGTATGCGTCTGTTCGTGAGAGTGTGTGTGTGGTTAAAACCCCTTCAGCACATACCTTTCTCCAGCACCCCTTCAGCACATACCTTTCTCCTAGCACCCAGACCACTTCATTGAGCTGAAGTGATCTGAGTACCTACAGTGGTCCTTTAAGTGTATGTGTATCTGCATGCACTGGTGTACATACCGCGGTCGCAGGGGTCGCAGCCCTGTCACCAGGTGCCCGCCGCAATGTGTTGCGTCCCCGGCCCACGTAGAGTAAGCGTGGGGGAGGCAGGGCCGGTGCAAGGATTTTTGGGTACATGGGCGAAGATGCATTTTTCCGCCCCCCCCCCAAAAAAAAAACATCTTCACCTATGTACCTCTTAACCAGCCCCTCTCCCCTCCCCGTCCATTAGTGTTCTTCTCATCTCCCCCCTCTTTTCCCTGTCCCTAGGTGCACCCCCCACCCCTTTAGTGGTCACACTCCCCTTCCTGGTGTGCCTCCTACCTCTATTGTTGCATTGCCGAGCAGAGCAGATCCCCTACAGGAGCTTCAGTTTTCTATACCCGGCCGGACTGACAGGGAGTGCTCTCTCAGTAAGCACCTCTTGTCAGTCTGGCCAGGTACAGGAAACAGAAGCTCCTGTACCGCGCTCCTGTACCGCGCTCCGCTCCGCAACGCTACACTCAATGACAAACACACAGACGTCACTGACAGACACAGACTCATTGATCTGACACACACTCATTCATTGACACACACACACTGACAGACACACACTGATGAACACTCATTGACAGACACACTGATAGTCACACACAGACTCAATGACAAACATACTCTCACTGATTTGACAGACACACACTCACACACTGAAAAACACACTCATCATACACTGACAGACACACTCATACACTTACATGCACACACATACACTCACATGCACATACAATCACTCACAGACACACACACACACACAGACACACACACACACTCACACACACTGTCACTCACAGATACACACACACACATACACACACACTCAGAGACACACACACTCAGAGACACACGCACTGTCACTCACAGACACACACACTGTCACTCACAGACACACACACACACTCACACATACACATCACATACATTCACTAATTATTATTTTTATAAATAAGCATTTTCCACCCAGTCTCCCTACCTGGAGAGCTGGTGTGGATGATGGATCATTCCCTGGGGTCCAGTGGGGCTGCTGGGCGGCAGTGGTATGATCAGAGGCGGCGAGGGAGCTCTTATCTCCACGCTCTGCTCCCTCGCGGGCTGTCTACTGATGCCAGGAGCCGGAATATGACATCATATTCGGGCTCCCGCGGCCTCA